TTGGGGGGTTTGTTCATGTGTGATTTTACACCATATTCGTATAGTATCTAGAGCTTATTTGTCGCATTATTGGTGTATAAATTGCGTATTTGTGCTTTAATTCTCTATTTGTTGGAAAGGTGTTACGCGTTCTTGTTTTGTAGATACTTTTACATATTTGTAGAGCTTGTGGCTATTGGAGGTGCACGTGGAGTACCTAGGACCCCCGGGATGATGAAGGATTGATGCACGGATGAGAAAAATGGAAGAAACGAGCAAAACGGACAAACATGTGCATGTTGTGGTGTGACACGACCTGTGACACGGGCTCTCAGGTCGTGTCACGACCCATGTCACCTCAACAGAGAGAATTCGAACCCCAGGTACCTGACACGACCTATGTCACGACCCGTGACACGGGCGTGTCAGGCCGTGTCGCGACGCGGGCAGTTTTTAATCGCTTACCTTTTTCGCTTAGGAGAGAAATTTTGGACATAATAAAAAGACCTATTTACCTGATCTTGAGCCCTAGAACGTGATTACGCAAGGAAGGGAGCTAGAGAAAACACAAGAGAAGCAATTGGAAGAAGAGAAGATCAACCACAAAATTTCTAGTTCTTCTTTCTCTATTTTAAACTTATTTTCTCATGATGATTTCTAATATGTCTATGTATTTGATTTCAAACATGAGTAGCTAAATTTCTTTGATTCTAAGACATGGTAGTAGATTAATAGTTTGGGATTTTTGGATGATTTATTATAGTTGATTGTTTTCTTTTGAACCCTATTCAAATATTTTGTTCTTATTTCATGAATTGTAATTGGCCACTGCTTTTACATGTTTGATGATATTGTTCATAATTCGAGAGATGAGTTCAATATTAGATCTTTAATATTTGACACAATTTATTTGCTTGAATCGAGAGATTAGTAGATAGTTGTGAGGATTTTGGGTCTTTTAATCTTTATGGAGTTGAATTGCATGTGTTGAGTGGAGACGCTAATATATGTGATTTAATCTACGGTTTTATCGATCTCGAGAGGGACGATATGCTAAAGTTGTGATCATCTTATAGGGTAGATAAAAAAACATTTAATTGTGATATCTTTGAAGGAATCCTAACTATTAATTGAACCCAACGTCTTAGAATCTATCGTTCTGATATATTTTCTCACGTGTTGATCTAGCTAGTTATTTATTTTTGCTTTTTTCTTTCATTTATTTTCTTAGTTTAGTTAATCAATCTCATATTCGGTCGTCTAAATAAAGTTGACACTATCATAATCTTGTACTTGATATATTAATTATTTGGTCTCTT